TTTTAATTTAAAGGATAATTGCTTTACAATATTGTGTTGGTTTCTGCCATACATCAATGTAAATCAGCTATAGGTATACATATACCCCCTCCCTCTTGAACCTTCTTTCCATAGGTAAATCTTAATCATCTCAGTTTTGTCAATGGATTCTTGGATATGACAGCAAAAGCATGAGCAACAAGGGAAAGGACAGCTCAACTGGACTTCATCAAAATTGAAAATTTTTGTGCTTCAAAGGACATTGTTAATAAAGAGACAGCCTACTACAGAATGGGAGAAAATATTTGCAAATCATTTACCCGAGAAAGGGTTTATATCTAGAATATATAAAGATCTCATAAACTCAAAAAGACAAAGAATCTAATTTACAAGTGGGCCAATCACTTGAACAGAACTTTCTCCAAATAAAACACGTAAATAGCCAATAAACAGCTGAAAAGATGCTCAACTTCATTTATATTTGGGGAAATGCAAATCAAACTACAATGAGATATCATATCATACCCACTAGGATGGCTAAATCACAAACTCAGATAATAGTAGGAAAAAACAAGTCCGATAATAGTAAGTGATGAAGACATAGAGAGACTGGAACGATCATACACAACTGTTAGGAGTATAGAGTGGTGTAACCATGTTTAAAAACAATTTGGCAGTTCCTCAAGTGATTAAACGTAGAGTTATCATATGACCCAGCAATTCTACTTCTAGATATATGCCTAAGAAGAAGAAAACATTTGCCCACATAAAAACTTGCACAAAGATGTTTATCTACATGATGTTTATTGCATCATTATTCATAATACCCAAAAGGTGGAAACAAATCAAATGTCTATCAACAGTTTAATGGATTTAAAAAATGTAGACTGTCCATAAAATGGAATACTATTTGTCCACACAATGGAATACTATTTGTCCACAAAAAGGAATGAAGTACTAACAATTGCTATGACATGGATGAACCTTGAAAATATGCTCCGTAAAAGAAGCCAGTCACAAAGAATCACAAAGTATAAATTATTCCATTTATAGAAAGTGCCCAGGATAGGAAAATTTATAGAGACAAAAAGTAGGTTAGTGGTTGCTTAGGACTGGGGAGGATGGGATAATAAAGGGGTGAATAGAAAGGGGTAAACCATAGCTAAATGGGGTTTCCTTTTGAGGTGATGAAAATTTTCTAAAATTAACTGCAGTGAAGATTATGCGTATCTGTGGATATATTAAAATCCATTGATTTATATGCCTTCAGTTCAGTAGTTCAGTTGTGTCTGACTCTTTGTGACCCCATGGACTGTAGCACACTAGGCTTCCCCATCCAACTCCCAGAGCTTGCTCAAACTCACATCCATCAAGTTGGTAATGCCATCCAACCATCTCATCCTCTGTCATCCCCTTCTCCTCCTTTCTTCAATTTTTCCCAGCATCAGGGTCTTTTCCAGTGAGTCAGTTCTTTGCATCAGGTGGCCAAAGTATTGGAGCTTCAGCTTCAGCATCAGTCCTTCCAATGAATACTCAGGACTGATTTCCTTTAGGATTGACTGGTTTGATCTCCTTGCAGTCCAAGTGACTCTCAAGAATCTTTTCCAACACCACAGTTCAAAAGCATCAATTCTTTGGTGCTCAGCCTTCTTTATGGTCCAAATCTCACATCCATACATGACTACTGGAAAAACCATAGCTTTGACGAGACGAACCTTTATTGGCAAAGTAATATCTCCGCTTTGTAATATGCTGTCTAGGTTGATCATAGCTTTTCTTCCTAGGAGTAAGTGTCTTTTAATTTCATGGTTGCAGTCACCATCTGCAGTGATTTTGGAGCCCCCCAAAATAAAGTCTCTCACTGTTTCCATTGTTTCCCCATCTGTTTGCCATGAAGTGATGGGACCAGATGCCATGATCTTTGTTTTTTGAATGTTGAGTTTTAAGCCAACTTTTTCACTCTCCTCTTCCACTTTCTTCAAGAGCCTTTTTAGTTCTTCACTTTCTGCCATAAAGGCGGTGTCACCTGTGTATCTGATGTTGTTGATATGCCTTAAATCGGTCAATTGTATGCTATGTGAATTATGTCTCAATCATGTGTATGTGTTTTTAAAGAATAAGTTGGGGCTTCCCTGGTAGCTCTATGGTAAGGAATTCACCTGCCAATGCAGGGGACATGGGTTCAATCCCTGATCCAGGAAGATCCCACATGCCGTGGGGCAACTAAGCCTGTGCCACAATGACTAAGCCTGTGCTCTCGAGTCCGGGGAGCTGGAACTACTGAAGCCCACGTGCTAAAACCAGTGACCTGCAACAAGAAAGGCCACCACGATGAGAAGTCCACACTTTGCAACTAGAGAGTAGCCCCCGCATGCCACAGCTAGAGAAAGGCCCCCACAGCCACATGACCCAGCACAACCAAAAACAAACAAAAAAATAAAACATTAAAAAAAAAAGAATAAGTTGGAATAATGACCTGGGGAGATTTTTTTTTATAAGTGCTTAAGTGAAAAAAGAAAGCTGCAGAATGTTATGAATTGAACTGTAACTCTGTTCTCCCTGCACCCCCCCCCGCCCCCCCGCCATTCATTCATTTAAGTCTTAACTCTGAGAACCTCAGAATGAGCCCTTGTTTGGAAATAAGGTTGCTCCAGATGTAATTGTTAAGATGTCATACTGGATAAGGCTGGGCCCCTAATCCAATACTACTGGAGTCCTTATAAAATGAAAAGAGGAACAACACCAAAGGGGACATTAGTGTAAATTTTGGACTTGGAGCAAACAGGTTGTGTCAATATAAGTTCAGTTGGTAACAAATGTCCTGTTCTGGTGTGGGGTGGTGATGCGGGGAAGGATGTGTATTTGCAGTGTATATGGAAAATCTCTGTACCGTCTGCTCAGTTCTGGTGTGGACCTAAAACTGCTCTAAGAAATAAGGTCTACTGAAATTAAAAAAACAAAAAAGATAAACTTGGACACAGACATGCACATACCGGAAGAACACCAGGTGAAGATCAGATTTCCACTGTCAGAAACCAAGGAACTACCAGGAGTTAAGAGACAGGCCTGGAAAAAATCCTCTGCGGGCACACTTAGAGGGGATGTGGCCCTGCAGTTACCTTGGTTTCAGATTTCTAGTGATGTTAGATTACTGGGAGATAATAACCTTCAGTTGTTTAAGCCACTCTGTTTGTGATACTCTGTTACGGCAGCCCTAGGGAACCAAAGAGCCTCTTAATGAGGGTGAAAGAGGAGAGTGAAAAAGTTGGCTTAAAACTCAACATTCAAAAAACTAAGATCATGGCATCTGGTCCCATCTCTTCATGGCAAATATATAGGGAAATATATATAGGGAAACAAATATATAGCAAATATATAGGCAAACAACGGAAACAGTGACAGACTTTTTATTTTCTTGGGCTCCCAAATCATGGTGAACAGTGACTGCAGCTATGAAATTAAAAGACATTTGCTCTTTGGAAGAAAAGCTATGGCAAACCTAGACAATATATTAAGAAGCAAAGACATCACTTTGCCAGCAAAGGTCCGTATAGTCAAAGCTATGGATTGTCCAATAGTCATGTATGGATGTGAGAGTTGAACCATAAAGAAGGCTGAATGCCACAGAATTGATGCTTTTGAACTGTGTTGTTGGAGAAGACTCTTCAGAGTCTCTTGGACTCAAGGAGATCAAACCAGTCAATCCTAAAAGAAATAAACTCTGAATATTCATCTAAAGGACAGATGCTGAAGCTGAAGCTCCAATACTTTGGCCACCTGATGCGAAGAGCTGACTCATTGAAAAGACTTTGGAAAATGCTAGGAAAGATTGAAGGCAAAAGGAGAAAGGGATGGCAGAGGATGAGATGGTTAGATAGATAGCATCACGGACTCAACGGACATGAGTTTGAGGAAACTCCTGGAGACAGTGAAAGACAAGACATTTAATTAATTAAGTAATCAATTAATTTTTGGTTTTACTGGGTCCTCATTGATGCATGCAGGCTTTCTTTAGTTGTGGCAAGTGGGGGCCGCTCCCCAGTTGCAGTGTTCGGACTTATTGCAGTGCATGGGCTTCAGTAGTTGTGGCGCGTGGATTTACCCGGCATGTGGAATCTTCCCGGACTAGGAAGGTAAGCTGTGTCCTCTGCATTGGCAGGAGGACTCCTCACCACTGGATCACCAGGGAAGTCTGGGTTAGACATTTTAACCGCCTTCTGTAATGGTCCTCCTTTCCAGCCCCCGCATTTCTTGGGCAAGCATACTCTCAGAAGCAGTCAGGAAAATTTCACAGCTCACGGGGTATGGTGAAAGCAAGGGGTGGGGGTGCAGCTCCTGGCTTTCTGGCTTGAGGATGAAGACTGTGATGGTGAGGATAATGGTGATGGTGGAGGTGATGGAGGAGGACGGGGAGGAAGGGGATTAAGGCATGCTGAGAATTCCAGTTTGCATTTCCTCATCCAACCTCACTTACTGCTCCAAGACAATGGCTCCCATTTAGAGATTTGGAAACTGAGGCTCAGCAAGGTCACGTGACTTGGGCCTAAGTCGTGGAGCCTGGATTTGAGCCTGGATTAGCCCAGCTCTGACACCGTTTTCCTTCCAACTCAAAGATGCCTCAAACACCACAGAGGTCAGCAGTGGCACTGTGCCCCTGCATGCCTCTTTCCCCGACCTTGCCCCACGTCAGGCCTCATCCCTCACCTTGCAGGGACCTCGTGGAGTTCGAAACAGCCATGGATTGGAATGAAAAATCAGAAGCCCACCACCCTGTCTCTCTGCAGTTTTCTAGCAGCCCCAGTTGACTCGCATGGGGTCTGCATTATTCAAGCCCATGGAATATTCAGACTGTCGGGCAGAGAAGCTGAGCCGGTCGGGGCTGGCTGCTCTGCTCTCTCTCAAAAGGCCCCCGGGGGCTGGCGACACTGCAGGGCTCTGGGAGGCAGCCTGTGCCTTGTTGCTGAAACAGATGTGTGTCGTCCCAGCCCGACGCAGGCGGAGGCGCGGGCCGCCGCTGATCGATGTCCCCATTTGAGGGGAAATGTATTATTGAGTACCCGGGCTCGTTCCAGCCAGACTCCTGGACGAACTGGCTCAGCTGTGTTCCCCGCTGGTGGGAGTCCCCCAGAATCCATTCCCGGGGAGCTGGCCCAGTGTGCTGGGCACCTTCAGGGTCATGGACACTCTTTCCTCAGTCCCTGCAGGGAGCGGACCTCCAGCAGGAAAACCCGGAACTCAGGATGCCCTGTGGTTTCAGCACTGTGTCAGCCATGCGGCTGCAAACAGGCCAGACCATCAAGTTGAAAACCCTTGTGTATGATCGGGCTGTCCAAGATGGCTGTCCTCTTGCTCTCTGTAATCCCTTGCTTGACCGTGCCTGCTTCCCCTAGACCCTACTCACACGACTAACCTTCCTATGTACTTGCCCCCACTGCAGCTAGTGACTGTTCTAATCTTGAGATCAGAACATCTTCACTGGGACAGTTTATCAAAGAGGCAGTGAGGGCCGTGCCCCTCTTGGCAATTTCCCTGGTTACCGATGAGCCAGCCTGACATCAGCTCCCCTATAACTGGAAACCTCCTCTTCCCCCTGGGAGCCAAGACTGCCACCACGTCCTGCCCGCTGGCTGACACACACGGTGGCGTGTTGCTCCAGGACCTCGATTCTGAAGTCTAAGATCCCCCATGCGTTAAACCACCGATGCCTCTATTGCTAACTCCAGGCTCCCTCTTGGGTCTTGAGGCTGGACAAGTACAGGTCTTGCTGGTCTGTGGAATGCAGCCCACCACCCTGGTTGTCTGTGCTAGCTGGGGTCCCCTGAGGTCAAGGCGAACAGGGTCCCTAAGCCGGAGGTGGAATACCAGAGCCCATGCTCCCAGAATCATCAGGGCACACGTCTTCTTGAGCCTTGGCCCTCTTGCACCCTTGGCTGTGGAGCTAGTGTCAGAAAGCCAGGTGCCCAGTTTGAGAATCCCAGCGCCATTGGCTCTAGAGTCCTGGTGGGCAGCTCCGGAGCCTTGGGGGTGGTTTCTTGAATCTCAGAGTCGGTGTTTGGAGAACTGGGGGTGGTTCCAGAACCTGAGCTCCCAGGCGTACTGTGCAGAGCTCACCAGCCCCCTCCCGAGCCCAGCTTTCTGGGACAGAGCCTGTCATGAAAAGATGGTTTATGGCGCACCTGGCGGCAGAGAACGCCGGGGTCTGGGGCTTGCTCTTAAAGATACGATTAAGGAAGAAATCCTGGAATGTTCTTTGAACTTTTGACACAGCTCTCTGGCCTCAATTAGGGCTGCCACTGCTCCTACCTTCCTGGGCTGATTTACATGGGTGGAGAGAGACCCTGGAAGCCCCTTGCTTCCTCCGGCATTCAGGGGAAGCACATTCCCCAGGAGGGCCCCCGATGCTCACAGCTCCCTCTGGGCAATGGCAGGTTTGGAGGCTTGGAAGGCTCTGACTCAGTGGGAGTCTGCCCATGCTGTGGTCACCTTGCCCTCCTTCCATTGTGCAGATGGGGACTCTGCAGCTCCGCACGCCCTCCTTGGTCTAGCCCCGGGTTTCTCAACCTCAGCACTACTGACAATTTTGGTTTGGCTAATCCTTTTGTGGAGGCTGTTCTGTGCGCCGTAGGGCACTGAGCAGCATCCTTGGCCTCAGTCCATTAGATGCCAGCCTTCCTCCAGTGTGACAACCAAAAATGTCTCCAGACAGGACCAAGGGTCCCCTGGAGGAGAAAGTCTCCTCCAAGTGGGGATCTTTGGTCTATGGAAAGGATTCCTGAGCCCAGATTGATTCTGTGATGGGCTTCATAACTGTTCTGCTAACTCTGTCTGATGCTTGACTGACCCCTCTTCCCAACCTGAGATACCCCATTAGGGTCCCAAGAGAATAATCCCATTGTCCCTATTTTTGGAGGAGGAAGCAGTGGTCCTGAGTTTAAATTGAGTACCAGGGACTGCAAGGACATCAAAACAGTCAGTCCTAAAGGAATTCAATCCTGAATATTTATTGGAAGGACTGATGCTGAAGCTGAAGCTCCAATACTCCTGCCACCTGATGTGAAGAACTGATTCATTGGAAAAGACCCTGGTGCTGGGAAAGACTGACAGCAGGAGGAGAAAAGGGCGACAGAGGATGAGATGGTTGGATGGCATCACCGACTCAATGGACATAAGTTTGAGCAAGCTCTGGGAGAAAGTGAAGGACAGGGAAGCCAGGTGTGCTGTGGTCCATGGGGTTGCAAAGAGCCGGACACAAATTAGTGACTGAAAAACAACAAATTGTTCAAGGCCGCACAGCAAATCAGCGGCAGAATAAGGATTCACACTCATATCTGTTTCTTGCAACTTTACCACACTGTTTCCTTGATTCCTGCTGAGATCCTGAGCTCACAAAGCCAGTCAACAAACATTTATTGAGTCCCTACTATGGACCAGGCCTTATTCTAGAAGCTAACGCAACAGAAGTCAGGAAACAAAGACTCCTGCCCTCACATAGCTGATGTTCTAGCGGGGAAAAGTCAGAAAATGAACAAATACACAGCTTGGCATCAGGCTGGAAGGCAAATGAGAGGACCTCCCCTCCAAGGCTGCTTAAATGCCCCCTCCTCAGCGGGGCTGAGACTCAGGGCTACAGAAGCCACCATCAATAATAAAACAAGTGCATTCATCCACTGCCCCCAGACAGCGGAACCCAGAGAAATGCTAGTTTTAGGCCTTCTCTCCAGCCCGCAGATGATCAGATTCCTACAGAACGGGGCTGAGAGCCAGGCCAGGGCAGCCGCTCTGGGCAGGCCCTCCTCTGGGAGCTTTTCCCTTCTCCCACATCTGTCCAACTGCGAGCAAGCGGCGCCCAGCCTGGTAGCGCAGACCCAGACCCCCCATAAATTATGCACATCGCTCCCATTTCTAGGCGGAGGCACTGGAAAAATTATAACTCCCATTAACTCACATTGCACAAGCAGTCCAGCTGTTTCTCCAGCTCTGGCCCTCCTGGGCTGGAAGGGAGAGGCTTGGCCACGGGAGGGCCGGAAACGCTCAGCTACTCTGGGCCCTAATGTGTTGGGCTTGTAACTCCTTGGCAGTGAAGAGCCTTCCGTCCACAGCAGGAATGGTGTCGGTGCCCCGCTAGTTCGCCCGATGCTCGAAAAGTTAGATGGAGAGGAAATGGTCGTGGAGGGGCAGGGCTACGTGTCGCAGGTGCTGTCTGCACGCTGTGCATATAAGGGGCTGGGGCCTTTGGGCTGCCTTCCAGGGGCCACCTTCCTCTTCTCTCCCCCTCCCCACTTGCATCCTCGAGGTACCATGCATGTGGCAGTTGGACTGGCTGCTCCCGGGTGTGGTGGGAACTGGCTAGGAACCACTCTCGGGGGCGTGTGTAGGGTGATATGAGCAGCACAACTAGGGGATTCCACTGGACCCATTTTGCAGATAAGAAAGTAAGTGACTCATCCAGGATGTCTGTGTCTTTAGGGGCGGCGGCAGCCGGGGTGACCGCACACTCCTGGCTGCATGCCGTTGGAGTGGCCGCTGCCTCCGCTCCAGACAACAGCATCAGCAACAACCCTCCTGCGTAGCTGATTGGACCAAGGCTTGGGGGCGGAGCCAAAGACAAACAGATGGGTGGTGGCAGCTCTGTCCAATAGGAACGCTCCATCTAGAAGTGTGGCAACCTGAGCCAATCAGAGCCTCTCACGGGGAAGCTATAAATGCTCAGTGCGGCCTGCATTGGGTGCCACCACACTTCTTACTAGGAGGTCTGTGTTCACCTGTACCTGCGTCCCTGGCAGCTTGGGAGCCCTGCCAGTGCCCCTGGAACTGAACTCCCAGGTGGTGCCAACAGCCCTAGGTGAGAACTTGGAGGTTTCCGGCCCAGGCCTTTGGAGATTAGCAGAGGCCCGTGTGGTAGCAGCCGGCCGGGCACAGGTTTCAGTGATGTCACCACTGGTGATTTCCAGTGTCTGCAGATGGCCTGTTGAAGTTATCAGTGGACAGGCCCAGGGATATTGATCCCCCTCCATATTTATGAAGGACGCAGCTGTTTCTGTATTAAGGGTGCCTGTCTGCTGGGCTTTAAAGATATTAATTCTTAGGCCCAGAGATATCAGAGCAGAGGGCCTGGAATACCCAGACAACCCACTTTGCAGGTTGGAAAGCTGGCCCTGGCAGGAGCAGAGTTCAGGCCCTACGCAGTCTCATGCTCTCCGTTTTCTTTGCATTGGAATTACTCTAAGGTCTCTTTCTGTGTCCCTGATCTATAGGTGGCAATAATTAGAGTACATTTATTGTGCTGGGCACCTTATATAAATTCTTTCTAGATAGGTAAAGCTCTCAGTGTAAGCTTTCTTGTCCTAAGCGAGGTCTGCAGAATTAAATGATTTACTCAAGATCATAGATCTACAAAGTGGTGGCAGTGGAGTCTGCAGCTCAGCTTCAGCTTCCAAACTCTGCTGTCAGCTGCCTGGCTGGCCCTTGAGTTGGGTCTTGTGGGAACTTTCATTCACTCCCTAGTGTACCCATTCATTCAGCATGCTTATTTCACAGTTCTGGTATTGTCCTTCTTAGGCTTCATAATGTCATTTTTCCAGTTTCTTCACTCGCTTCCTTGTTTGTGTGTCTCCCAGCTAGACCGTGAGCTCCATGAAGGCAGAGCATATGTGTATTTTATTCATTCCAGTATCCCCAGTGCCAGGCTCAGCACCAGTCCTCAAGAAATGTTGGCTGAATGTTGAATGCATTATAGGAAGCTATATCAAGAAGTCGAGACTTATTTAGTTGTTGAATGAAAGTGCAAGTGATGAAGATTGGATGAATACTTGAATGCATGAAAGGACTCGTGTCCTCTCTCCTAGGCGCAGCCTTTTCACTTGGGAAGTGAGGATGCTATCATTAATAGCTACTATCTACCTCCCTTGGAGAGGGTTAGATAACACATGTGTGATAGTCATTAGGGCGAATCACATTAGATTTTCCTGATCCTGCATGGGGTACACATTAGGAATGAAGGTCCATGCCTCTTTGAAGTTGGGTGTGGCCAAGTGACTTACTTTTGACTAGTGAAATATGTATGCTAAGTGATGAGTGTCCTTTATGCATAAAAACTGTAAGAGCCAGTGAACTGAAAAATTCACTATACCCCCCACCCCAGCGACATCCATGCAAGCACATAGCCAAGCCAACCCTCTGGATATCTAATGTGGCTGAGATATAAATTTTATGTGTTGAGTCAGTGAGAGTTTGGGTGGTTACTGCAGCAGGACCTAGCCCATCCTAACTGTGGAGTGTGGGTACACAGTGTGTGATGCCAAGAGCAGAGTAGGGGTTCCCCAGAAGGTACCGGTGAGACTCCTCTGCTCATCACGGCCTAGCAGGCTGCCTCTCTTCCGGATGCCACGGACGCTGTCTAGGGACAATGGAGACATTTTCTCCCGCTCTTTCCCAGTTGGCTCTGCTGCAGGAAGGCAGAGAAACCCAGACATGAAGTCACCGCTTGTTTTCGCGAGAGAGCAAGAAAAAAGCCGTTGCAGTATTGTGTTTGCCTTATTAAGGCTCATTTTCTCATTACAATTTTCCCTCCTAATTGCTAATTTTTCCAGCTTCTCCAAGAGCCATTCGACTTCCTCCTTGTTCCTTCCCCCCTTCCAAGAGAGCTGGTGCTTCGAGAAACTGCCACAGATGGGCCAAGGAGAAACACACATGCTTGTTTTTAATTTGCTTGAAATCCTCTTTTCTTGGTGCTACTGGGACGGGCGGCTGCCAGGCTCTCCCGGCCGAGCGGCTGGGGACTCGGCCCCGAGGACTGACTCCCTCCAGGGGAGGGATGGGCTGCTTCAGGTGCAGCCCCTCCCCGGGGGGCGCTCTCCTGGCCAGGGCCTCCCAGTCCTTGGATTCGATCCTTGGACGGCAGCACCGCCTGAGCCCCCAGCGCTGCTCCCCTGTGCCCGAGGGCAGCCCCACTGTCCCTTAGCAGGAGGGCGCAGGGGTCCCCCATTTTCAGATGGGGCGACAGGCTCAGAGAACCGAGGAGCTGAGAGCAGTGGTACCGCGGGAGTTCCCTGTAGGACAGTCTGTCTGTCAGTTCCAGGGGCTCCTTCCACATGGCTGGCCTGTCCGGATCAGCAAGGAGCTGGTTGCAAGAAAGGTTGCAAACCTTTCTCCCATCTTCCCGGAGCCAGCTCATGGCCTGAGGGACTGGCTCACTGGCGTGGCACCAAGGTCAACCCCTTGCCTCCTCAGGGTCTCGGTCTCTACCTGCTCACTGAGGGGATGGGATCAGAGGATGTCTGTGGGTCTGATATTTGGACTCCATGAACGATATGCTCTCAGGTCTTCTGATCTTGAGAGGCTGGGAGGATGGGGACTTTGACGTGAGAGGGAGAATCAGCTGAGAGTCGTGCAGTAGAGTGGCTGTTGGTGGGCTTTGTGAGTTTGGGCAAGCTGTGTCACCTCTCTGAGCTTTGGCTTCATCGGCTCTTCAAAGCAAAGCAATGATCTCTCCCTCACTGGTGGGAACACAGGCATCAGGGTAAAGCTATTGGTGTCTGGCGACACGCAAACATTCTCCAAATGGTAGTTGCCATGGCTGTTTATCATTCTCATCCTTGTTGTTGTTGTTACACGGTTTTTGGTTTTTTTTTTTAATGAACTGGAGAAAGTCCTAGCTCTTACAAACCAAAAAGGTCGCCGGTCCAACTTCTGTTTTTTACAAACTGGGAAACCAAGTCAAGAGAAGGGAAATGCCGCGCTCAACCTGGGCTCAAAAGAGACTTGGGAGAACTCTGTTTTGCCCTCTGCCTTCTCTTCCTCACAGATGGAGAAATAAAAGCACATGCATCCCTGGTAGTTCAGTGGTTAAGCATCTACCTTACAATGCCGGGTATGTGGGCTTGATCCCTGTTGGAGAACTAAGATCCCACGTGCTGAGGGGCAGCTAAGCCCATGTGCCACAACGAGAGAGTTGCGTTGTAATGAAAGCTCCTGCACGCTACAGCTGAGATGTGATGGAAGATCCCATGTGATGCAATGAAGATCCTGATGCAGCCAAAAATATTTTTAAAAAACCACCGGCATTTGAAAACAACTGCCTTGACTTGTCAGGTCCCCATGGAGAGAGACCTCTCTGGGACATTTCCTGCTAAATAATGAGTGGTCACCAGAATGGCGGATGGCCATTCATCAAGTTACCCAAAGGCTGGGTAGCAGCAGAGGCCTTGGGAGTTGGCCCCAGCGGTCACTTCCGGGAGCTTTGGGGTCGGGTTAATGTCATGGGGCATGAAAACCCCCAGCCCAAGGTGTCTGCCGAGGACCCCTGAGCTGCTCAGAAGCAGCTGTTCTCCAACGAACATGAGCCTGCATCATCACCACTGTTGACCAGCCCTGTCTTACTGCTCGTGGCACTTGGCACGGTCATAGCCTGGGGTTGAATGATTGAACTCAAGCCCTGCTTCCCAGGCCAAATGTGGGCCACAGGACTTGGGCGTTCAGCCCTTCATCCCATAGGATGCCTTGGTCCAGAGGACCAGCAGCCCCTGGTGCTCCATCAGAATCATGCTGCTTGGGGCCATTTGTGAGACCACGTCCTTTTCTCAGCTGCCTTTCCCCTTTTCCTGCCCTGGGAACCCAGAAGTTGTGGTTTACTCCTCTATGCCCACCCTTGGGGCTTCCCGGATGGTAAAGGATCCACCTGCCAATGCAGGAGTTACAGGAGACGCGAGTTTGATCCCTGGGTCGGGGAGATCCCCTAGAGTAGGAAATGGCCACCCCCTCCAGTATTCTTGCTTGGGAAATCCCACGGACAGAGGAGCCTGGTGGGCTACAGGCCACGGGGTCACAAGGAATCAGACAGGACTGAGTGACTAGGTGTGGACACACACCCATCCTCAGGGAGAAGGCACAGGCACCTCGGTGCTCGTAACCCAGGTGGATCTCTGCCACCTCTCCCTAGAGCAGACAGAAGAGTGATTTTTAGTGTACTTGGAGAGTGATTTGTGGAATTTGAGTAAAGTTTTCAAATGCTTAAAACACACAGACTTGGAAGTCACTGGTCTTGTCCATTTCTTTGTTTGATGGACGGTGATTGGAGTACCAGGCCAGGACAGGGTCTTATCGAAAGCCAGTAGTGACTGTTGTCAGTGTTACCTGCTAATACTTGATTAGGACCAAATCACTGCCTGGAGGTAGGGAGTGGGGTGGGGGTGTATATGGACCAGTAGCCTCCCCATCAGGGTGATATGGGTAGCAAATAGATTTTACTCCACATGCTATGTCTCGTCAGCCTGGAGCATTAAGCCTCAAGAAGGATCTTGAAACCATGTCCCACCTCAGTGAGGAGTTGGGTCAATAAGATCTGCCAGGGGCCTGAGAGGAAAGAGCAGCCTGTGTGTGGGGGGTGTGTGTGCCCTCATGGTTCCTGACCATAGAGAAACATTTATCCCTTAGAATAGCACTTAGACCTTTTATGGTCTGACCCTGCCCACTCCCCTAGTGTGCGTCCCCACTGTACATAACGCAGGCCTGTCTTTCCCACCTTGTGGCGTTGCTCACTCTGCTCCTTCTGCCTGGAGCGTCACCTTGTTCACCTGTCCAAATCTGCCCCATCCCTCCTGTCTCCCCCTCCCAGAAAGCTTTCACACTGCCCATCAGAGTTGACCTCTCCCTTCCAAGGTGCCCACCGCCTTTTATCTCACCCCTCCTATGACCCTTTGTGGATTCTCCCTACTGTTATTGTCAATAATGCATGCTGTCTCCTCCGCTGGCTTGGGAGGGATGAACAGGGCATTTTGGTTGAGCCGCTGAGCTGGAGCCAGCTTAGGCAGAAAGAGGTCTATAGCTAGGGTGAACAGCTGAATCGTGGGAAGAGTGAGGATGCTGCAGAGATGCAGGGAAGACCAGAGAATGAATGGTCCTCGGGTTTTCTCCCCATCTCTCATCTCTGCCTCTCATCGTGGGCTGTCCTCATCCTCTCTCTCATGACCATCTTCTCCAAAGGTTCACAGCTTATCACCTGATGCAAGGTCAATCTCTTTCTCTCTCTCTCTCTCTCATTAGAAAAACCTCAGGACAGGGATCTGATTGGCCTGCCTGGCCCAAATGTTTTCCCCTGGACCACTGGGCTATGGCCAGTAGGTGGGCTGTCTCAGAACACAGCCATAGGGCAGCTGATGGGGATCCCAGGGGCATTCACTGTAGCTGCCCAGTCCTTCGTGTATCGTGTGGCCATGCCCAGCCTGGACCTGGTGCACAAGATGCGGGGCAAGGAGGCAGCAGGTGGGTGAGTGGGTGGGTGAGGCCGGCCACAGAGCATGGTTTTGAGAACCTGCTGGGAATCAGGGGTTGCTGGGGGCTTCTTTCCATATTTCCTCTTGCATTTAACCTTCACAATAGTCCTTCCAAGTGAGTGAGGGTTCTCTATCTACTTGGATCATGCGAGTAATAACAGGCCAAGAATGCTGAGCACTTAGGTGCCCCCGGGAGGCAGCCTCACTTCCGTCCTCACAGATGGGGACAGCTGAATACACGGGCTGGTGGCTTCAAAGTCACACTGTTTGACTCCCTGGCCGATGCCGCTTAAGACAAAGGAGCTAAGAGATTTTTTTTTTTTTAACCCTGCAGCTCTGTGGTCCTTCAAAAACCTTGGGGGGTGGGGGTGGGGCTTTGGGAAGGCTTTGGGGGGCTTTTCTCCAAATCTAGGGGTCACCCTGGAGCTCTCTCCTTCGCATTCTTGTTTCTGCTGCCCTGGAGTTTTCTCTACCTCCGTATGCTAAAAAGAAAGAAAACAATTTAACGACAACAACACAAAAAAACTTAGATCATTTAAAAAAAATACAAAAAAGTCTGACTTATGTGAAATTTAATTTAATTTATTTTTATACCAGCAGCTGTCAGTTCAAAGAACAACAACAAAGTAGCCATCTGTGCTTAATTTCATCAATCCGCTGCCGATGGTCACGTGAGCGTGGCTTTTGGACTGAGGCAGAGCACGTGGCCAGATCTCAGCGCCCCAGGCCCCCGCCCCCCACCCCGGGGCCGTCCGTCCAGGCAGGAGTCTGGTGGTTCGTGTGGGGAGCCAAGGGGCACGGCGCCTGGGCGCTCGGGCCAAACTCATCACCAGTGGGGCAAAGCCGGCAGTCTCCTTCCTAGACACAGCAGCCCCCCTGACTTTTCACATTATTTCTGCTAGTGCTGAGTAGGCTTCTCAGCCCTGCTGAACAGATGGGGAAACTGAGTCTCAGAGGGGTCCCTGGCCCGGGGTCACATAGCCGATAAACAGATCCAAACGGTAGCTTGTCACACTCCAGAACCCATGTCCTCATGAGCCAAGTGGCTTCCTGCAAAGCTACTGAAGCTCCCGAGGACTTGGGGGATCAAAGACAGCAGGGTCCTAGGTGGGGAGCCGCCATCCCATCACAGACCCGAGCCCCCCTGCAGGCCAAGAGGCACGTGATGGTGGACGAGATGCCCTCTCTGTGTGGCTCCTTCTCCGGGGGGTGACCGTGCTCCTTCCTTGGGGTGCTGTGAGGAGCGTGGGCGCTGTCGCCCTCCCCTGGGCACAGCTCAGAGCTGAAGACTTGGTCCCCCACATGGGGAACTTGCCTGAGGTCATGTAAGGAGTGAGTAGTGAGACATAAACCATCCGTCCAGAAGAATCCCAGCCTGCACTGTGGAGCTGCAGAACCTGGGGGAGCCTCCTCCTTCTACGGCCCGAGAACCCGAGGCCCGAGGGGGAGAGGGACCCGCCCAGGGTCACGCAGGGCCAGTGGCAGAGCCCGCCTGGACCAGTGCAGCCTCAGGCTTCGTCGACACTTGTGCAAGGAGAACTTGTCCCCTGCCACGGCGGGCTGGCTCCTCTGGAGTGGGCCGGGTTAGGAGGGCTTTCCTGGGCCCCCTCTCTTTGTGATTCATGGAGCAGACCCTGAGATTGAACTTGGCCCCTTCTAGCGGCAGAATCAGGATGGGCGTCACCTGGTCAAACCCTCTTACTCATCCCCCCCCATTCACCAAAAAAGACCCAAACCCCCAAAGCAAAATGAGAAGAAACCCCAGTAGGGATTCCTGTGCAAATCACAGCTTTATTTACTGCTGAATTAAGAGAAGTAAGAGTGAGCAAGTCAGAATCATTAAAATATAGATCAAGAAAGTCACATTTCTCGATTTGCCATATTAAAGAGAAGCGGGGGAAACATGCCAATTGGCTTGTCATCTTCTCATTAAATAACAGATGGTGGCTGAGTCACTGCTCCCGGCAGTCAGGACGCTGTGTCTGCCGGCTCCCTCGCTGGGCCCAGCCGCTCGCTTGGGACTGAGGGGGCCGGTGGTGGGGAGGGGACAGAGGAGGAGGAAGCCCACTTCCTTCCGCCTCTTTGTCCATCCAGCCCCCATCCCAACCCCCTACCCCTCGACTCCCAGAAAGGCGCATCTATTCCTTCTCAATGATGGTGTGAGTGTGTAGAGGACCCAGCCTACGAGGCAGACAGAAAACGGCAACAGCGTGGTACCCTGAATTCAGGATTATTGGAGAGGATGCCCAGGGGCTGTGGGGACCCAGCAGCTGAGCCTGACCAGCCTGAAGGGATGGCGACCAGGCACCACATAGACCTTGGCCGGGGTTCTCGTTTCTGAAGATCACCTAGGCAGCCACGCCGGGAGGTCTGTGATGCCCCCAGACACGGAGTCTGCTCTTTCCAACGCCTTGACCCTGGGGCCGCCTTCCTTCCCTCCTCAGTGTTCCTCCATCCTCCCATTCCTCCAGCCCCCTACCACATATGCTGGCCAGATCCAGGGGTGGGCACGTAAGAGCAGAGACCCTTTCCTCCAGGGGCCTTTCTGGCCCATAGATGGTCATTCCCGAGTCCCTTTCCCTGACCAGCTAGCTCTCATCTTTGTTGCTTTTGGGGACTTGAGTGTAGACCCCACTGCTGTCGGCATCTCACCCGGGCAGCGTGATTCAGACCACAGGGCTCTTGATGGGCTGAGCAGAGCAGTTGTGTCCCTTGGAGGACACGCCAGAGGGCTGTGATGGGCTGATGACTTTTAATGAGGTCCCTTTCAAGAGCAATCTGGGGCCCTAAGAGTTTTGATAGGGATTGCACTGAATCCATAGATGGCTTTGGGTAGTATTGGACATTTTAGCAATATTCTTCCAATCCAAGAACATGGGATATCTTTCCATTTGTTTGTGCCTTCTTCACTTCCTTTTATCAAAGTCATGTAATTTTCATTGTACAGATCTTTTCTTGTCTTTGGTTAAATTTATTCCTGAGTATTTTACTGTATTTGATGCTCTTATGAAAGGAATAGTTTTTAAAATTTCTTTTTCCAGTGTTTCTTGGTCAGTGTACAGAAACACAACTGATTTCTATATGTTGATTTTATATCCTGCAACTTTATGGAATTTGTCGATTAGTTCTGACGGGTTTTTTCTTTGAGCCTAACAGTTGTTAGGAATTTCTGTGTTTAAGGCCCCATCATCTGCAAATAATGACAATTTCATGTCTTCCTTTCTGGTTTAGAGGCATTTTTATTTTTTTCTTGCTTAATTGCTCTGGCTAGGACTTCCAGTGCCATGTTGAATAGTAGTTGTGAGAATAAGCACCCTCGTCTTGTTCCTGATCTTTGGGGAAAGAGTTTCAAACTTTCACTGTTGAGTGTGATGTTTTTGTGTGCTTGTCATAGATGACCTTTATTATTTGGATGTAAGTGTTCTTGCCTGGGAAATCTCATGGACAGAAGAGCCTGGTGGGCCACAGTCCATAGGGTTGCATAGAGTCAGACACGACTTAGCAACTAAATAGCAGCATGTTTCATCTATACCCAGTTTGTTGAGGATTTTATCATGAAAGGATATTAAATTTTGTCAAATGCTTTTTCTGCAACTACAGAGACAATCACATGGTTTTTATCTTTCCATCTATTACTGTGATGTATCACATTGATTTGTATATGTTAAACCATCCATGCATCCCAGGGAAAATCCTGCTTGGTGTAGGATTCTTCAGATGTGTCACTGAGAATAATTTGGGCCAATGGGGACTCTCAGCTCAAATTCCTTGGTTTCTTCTCCTGTGTGTTAGAAGTTTCAGTTTGAGTCCAGGCCTCACAAGCTAAGAGGTCCTGTTTTTGCAGGACTTGAGACTTTGCTGTGACTGGTGGTAAAAGTCACGACTCTTGGTTTGTATTGTATTCAACAGGAAATAACGAGCAATTCTGCCCATGTAAAACACCCAGGCACCTCTTCTTGCACACCATCATGGGTATCTTGGGAACCAGTCCAGCTAAAAAGAAGGAGCTTGGTTTGGGAGTCCAAGGGGGTTTGAACTGATCAAACATTCACTCTTTTTTTATTTTTCGTTGGAAAAGAGTTGCTTTACAGTCTTGTGTTAGTTCCTGCCATGCAGCGGGCTGAATCAGCTCTGCGTGTACATCTAGCCCCGCCTTTTTGGATTTCCTTCCCATTTAGATCACCGCAGATCACCGTGTAGAATTCCCTGTGCTGTACGGTTGGTTCTCATCAGTTAATTATTTTATACATGTAGCGTATATATGTCAGTCCCAGACTCTTAATCCATCCCACTCCCTTCCCCCTTGGTTTCCATATATTTGTCTCTCTATTTCTGATTTGTAGATACGTTCATTTATACCATTTTCTAAGGGCTTCTCTGGTGACTCAGCTGTGAAGAATCTGCCTGCTAATGCCTGCCTAATGCTAGAGATGCGGGTTCAATCCCTGGGTTGGGAAGATCCCCTGGAGAAGGAAATGGCAACCCACTCCAGTATTCTTGCCTGGGAAATCCCATGGACAGAGGAGCCCAGTGGGCTACAGTCCATGGGGCCACAAAGAGTTGGACATGACTTAGCGACTGAGCAACAGCAACACACCATTTTCTAGGGTACACATTTGTCCATTAAAATGTGATATTTGCATATTTGTTTGTCTCTTTCTGGCTTAATTCACTCTCTATCACAGTCTCTAGGTTCATCCACATGTCTGCAAATGGCACAGTTTCATTCCTTTTTATGGCTGAATAGTATTCCATTCAGCCATATACATATTCATGTGTATATATGTGCCACATCTTTTTTATCCATTCTTCTGTTGTTGGACATTTAGGTTGCTTCCATGTCTTGGCTATTGTAAACAGTGCTGCAGTAAACATTGGGGGAAATCTGTCTTTCTGATTATGGTCTTCTCCAGGTGTATGCCTAGGAGTGGTATTGCTGGGCAGTTCTATTTCTAGTGTTTTAAGGAGACTCCATACTGTTCTCTAAATTGGTTGTATTAATTTACATTCCCCCCAACAGTGTAGGAGGGTTCCCTTTCTCCACACCCTCTCCAGAATTTATTGTTTGTAGAATTTTTGGGGATGACCATTTTGACCAGTGGACCTTAGAAAGCACCACTATGAGCAAAGTTAGTCAAGGTGATAGAATTCCAGTTGAGCTCTTTCAAATCCTAAAAAATGGTGCTGTGAAATTGCTCCTCTCAGTATGCCAGCAAATTTGGAAAACTCAGCAGTGGCCACAGGACTGGAAAAGGTCAGTTTTCATTCCAATCCCAAAGAAAGGCAATGCCAAAGAATGTTCAAACTACTGCACAATTGCATTCATCTCACATGCTAGCTAAGTAATGCTCCAAATTCTCCAAGCTAGGTTTCAATAGTACATGAAATGAGAATTTCCAGATGTTCAATCTGGATTTAGAAAAGGCAGAGGAACCAGGGATCAAATTGCTAACATCTGTTGGATCATAGAAAAAGCAGGAGAATTCCAGAAAAACATCTACTTCTGCTTCACTGACTTCGCTAAAGCCTTTGACTGTGTGGATCACAACAAAGTGTGGAAAATTCTTAAGGAGATGGGAATACAAAAGATCACCTTACCTGCCTCCTGAGGAAACTGTATGCAGGTCAAGAAGCAACAATTAGAACCAAACATGGAAAAATGAACTGGTTCCAAATTGGGAAAGGAGTATGTCAAGGCTATATATTGTCGTCATACTTATTTAACTTCTATACAGAGTACATCATGAGAAATGCTGGGCTGGATAAAGCACAAGCTGGAATCTAGATTGCCAGGAGAAATATCAATAACTTCAGATATGCTGATAACACCACTCTTATGGCAGAAAGTGAAGAGGAACTAAAGAGCCTCCTGATGAAGGTGAAAGAGGAGTGAAAATTTGGCTTAAAACTCAACATTCAAAAAACAAAGATCATGGGATCCAGTCTCATCACTTCATGGCAATAGATGGGGAAACAGTGGAAACAGTGACAGACGTTTTTTTTTTTTTGGACTCCAGAATCACTGCAGATGGTGACTGTAGCCATGAAATTAAAAGACACTTGCTCCTTGGAAGACAAGCTATAAAAAACCTAGACGTCGTATTAAAAAGTAGAGACGTTACTTTGCCGACAAAGTTCTGTATAGTCAAAGCTGTGGTTTTTCTGGTAGTCATGTATGGATGTGAGATTTGGACCATAAAGAAGGCTGAGCACCAAAGCATTGATGCTTTTGAACTGTGGTGTTGGAGAAGACTCTTGAGAGTCCCTTGGACTGCAAGGAGATCCAACCAGTCCATCCTAAAGGAAATCAATCATTGGAAAGACTGATGCTGAAGCTCCAATACTTTGGTCACCTGATGCGAAGAGCTGACTCATTAGAAAAGACCCTAATGCTGGGAAGGATTGAGGGCAGGAGGAGAAGGGAGTGACAGAGGACAAGACGGTTGGATGGCATCACTGACTCAATGGACATGAGTGTGAGCAAACTCCGGGAGATGGTAAAGGACAGGGAAGCCTGGCATGCTGCAGTCCGTGGGGGTCACAAAGAGTCAGACAGAACTGAGGGACTGAACAGCAACAATTTTGACCAGTATGAAGTGATACCTCACTGTAGCTTTGATTTGCATTTCTCTAATAATTAGCGATGTGGACATTCATTCTTTAAATGTTTAAGAAAAAAGAACTCACTTGGTCCCAGTCCTAACTCCAAAGCTTGTGTGGAAATGTGCTATGCTGGCTCCAGCAGTAGGAACTGGCAGTCCCCTTTCTTCTCCACCCTTTGGGGTCCCCTCTGCACCGCGCCCCACAAATGGTGGAAACAGCCCCTGTGTCGTGGTGAGGATTCAACCATACGGGATGGGGCTGGCCCCAGGTAGGGGACAAGAGCGACACTGAGTTTTCGGGTCAAGAGTGCACCAGAGGAGGGGTATTGAGATTGTCCAGGTCATCCAGGCTCCCTCCAGGAGCCCAGTGTCGGGACGGTTGGATCCAGAGGAGGCCGCTTGTCCGTGGAGGCTCTTTGCCTGCAGTGCAGGTGTTTACAGAGGTGTGTGTCTGACACCGCCTGGCATCAATTGGTAACGGGCGATCACACTTACCGCCCCTACTGGAGAGTTCCCGGCTGACCTGGAACTCCAGGCTGCCTGCCCCGAACTTAACAGGCTCTTCTTGTCTGCAGGATAAATTATGAAATTCTTTGCATTTTTTTGTCCAGCAACATCTGGTCTCCTTGATCTGAAGCCCTTGATGAATGGGTATCAGCGTCTTTTTCCTGTCTTCCCTCGCCGGCTCGGATTTTCCACCTGTTTGAAATCAGTATTCTCGGGTGTAAATCATGATCCACCCCCCGAGCTGCACCCGGCCCGTCTCCCTCTCCAGACATCTCCGCGGGTGTGAGTGTGGGCTGGTGGCCCCATGCCCTGCTGGCTGGCTTTGTGAGATGACTTCTGCGATCTCGGCCAGCAGCCCAGTGGACCCAGCAGTCCCATCACCTGGACGTCCCCAGACACCCACAATTCAGCACGTCCCCAAAACTCACCCACCTCCCTGTATCTTCTCCTCCTGGCTCTCTGGTATCTGCAGAAGCCCCTACCACCCACCCAGTGACCCAACCAGGAAACCTGCACACCTACAACCCCGCTCACAAATTTTTGTGGCATTACATCCTAAAATGGTCTAGAACCCTCCCCTCTTGCTTCCTGCTGGTCAGAACTGTTGAAGAACTCTTTTGTTCCCTGGCCTCCAATCTTCCTCCTCTCTAAGCCATCCTCCACTGGCCATAGGAATAGCCTAGTGGGTTGCCATTTCCTTCTCCAGGGGCTCTTCCCTGCCTGGGGATTGAACTCGTCTCCTGCATTGGCAGGTGGATTCTTTACCACTGAGCTGCCTCTGCATCCTTGTGATCTGTAATACATCTGATCGCCTTGCTCCCCATCTCATTCTCCGTTGTCTTAGAGACGAAGCCTGGGCTCCTGGGCGTTGCCGGTGAGCCCCCGCGCTCAGGCCCAACCCTCCCCCCACCCCAACCTAGTTTCACTGCTCTTCTTTCTGTCCCCAGTGAAGAACAAGCTCTCTTTTTCACCCCCGGCAGGCTGACAGACTTAGGTGACTCTTAAAACCTCAGTTCTGTCCATAAAACTTAATCTGCACTTCTGAGGCTTGGAATACGTCTAGTAATTTCCTTGTCACTTGTCTGCTCCCAGCTTCAGTGAGGAGTCAAGGTTGGAAGGGCTTTCCCCAGGAACCGCTGCATCTCACTGGAGCCCTGGGACGTGTTCTTGCCCACAGGACCCGAGGACAAAGCGGTGTGTGCTGCTGCCAGCAAGGTGCCCAAGAGGCAGGTCCTTCATCCTCTCTGTCATCCCTTCACGGGGCAACGCTCCCGAGCACAGCGCCCTCAGTACCACACACACGTGGAAAATGTTGGAGCAGCATAGTGGTAGGAGCCTGAGGCTCTGAATTCAGATGTAGAGGGGAGCTGCCCGTAGAGCAGAAATCACCATATGGCAGCAGCTAACATGTGGTTTACTCTAAACCATAGCCCAAGGGCTAAACCTGGCCCGCCACGTATTTTTTATAAATAAAGTTTTATTGAAACACACGCTCATTCACCTCCACATTGTCTAGGGCGGCTGTCACACTGTGCACAGTGGCAGAGTTGAGTGGTGTTGTCAGAGATTTCTTGTTGCTGTTTAGTCGCTAAGTCATGTCTGACTCTTTGTGACCCCATGAACTGCAGCACGCCAGGTTTCCCTGTCCTTCACTGTCTCCTGGAGTTTGCTCATGTCCATTGAGTCAATGATGCCATCCAACTGTCTCATCTTCTGCCACCTCCTTCTCCTCTTGCCTTCAATCTTTCCCATCATCAGGATATTTTCAAATGAGCATCAGGCTCTTCACATCAGGTGGCCAAAATATTGGAGCTACCGAATGACTGGAGAAGTCCCACATAGTTCTCTGGCCACTTGCAGAAAAAGTTCGCCAACCTCTCCTTTAAACTAATGTACTTTTCTGAATTATTTATTGCTGTGTTTGATTCCTCCTGAGTCTAATTCATCTACCTGAAACACCTAGCATGGTACAGGTCCAAAGATACCCCTTCAGTGAACGGATGGATGCTGCTTAGATGTTCACTGCTAATTTCCACTGGTGCATTGGTGGTGAGCAACCTCTTGAAAATATCCACTTCCTTCATCCGGACTTTAGTCATCAGAATATCAGATGAGGCCTGGGTCCATGGGCCTCCAATCAGGTGGGGAAAGGTAACAATAACGGGGAGAGAGCCTTTCGCCCACTTCTGTCCAGAACTCTCTGAGAAGCCTGGAGAATCGTGGTCCTCATGGTTCCAGCATGCAGGGACCTTGGTTGGCGGGGAGCGGTTAGCAGTCAGTGGTGCTCTGGGAATGTGGGGTGACCTGCAGGAGCAGTGGGTGCCTTTCTGGGGTTGCTGATAGCAGACAGTGGGGCTACATGTCATGGAAAAGCTGGAATCAGAGGGGAAAGGTGGGCCCGCCCGGGCCTGTCCCACAGTTACTGCTCTTGAGCGTAAGGCTGCCTAAGCCCCTCCAGTGGGAGACCCCCAAACACCTGAGCTAGTGTGTGTGTGTTTACTGGGGAGATTTGTAGGAAGCTGTGGGCCTTCGTTAGGAGGTAGGAGCAGGAAACAGTGGCCCGTGGGCCCTGCATTTGTTCATTAAACGAATACATTGGTGGAGCTTTCACCAGCCTTTCCCATCGTGAGTGAGGCCTTTTGGGGGTCAGTGAGGAAGCTGGGGCTCCCTCAGTCCTTACTCCAGGGCTCAGCAGGTTAGGCCACAGACAGACATCAGTGGTTCACTTTTGGCTTCACCCACCTCCTCCCATCAGGAACTCTACATTTTGGGAAAAAATGTCTATTAAACACATAACATTTTAAGGTGATATTTGATTTGTTCTCAGAGTTTTTTAACCAAAGATGCATAGAGCTACTGATGTAGCCAGATTGATGGATGTCCTGTAAAGAAAAGTCATGTGCTCTTTTTGTTTGAGTGAGCCTGGAACATGGGTTCTGTTGAATTTCTATTCATACCCTTGGATGTGATAACTTCCCAGTCCCACAGTTACTGTCATGGGGGTCTTGGTATTGCCAGCCTTTCCTGTGCGGCCTCTGCACAAGGCTGAGTTCCTGGGGCAAGAAGAGGCAGAACACGGGAGGGAGTGTCCCTGAGTCACAGTGGGTTTGGGAGTTGAAAGAATTATGAATAAAAGCCTAGTATTAGGAGAGTCACATTTCAGGGATATAGTGAGGCATGTTTTTCCTTTTATGAACCTAACCATCCAGATGCAAGCACATTTTCTACACACCCCTCCCTGTCTTGGCCCCTGGTTACCTTTGGGAACGTGGGGCCTGGCTTCTCTGGCCTGGCCTGTTGGAGCCTCTCAAAGGCAGGACCTCTTTCTTCCTCATTTCTAGAAAGGCTCTCGTCTGGGCCCTGCCTCCTTCTGGATCCTGCATTTGGATGGCTCTGCCCTTCCCTGGGGTAGCCGGCCGGGACCCCCCCAACTCTGCACCTCAGCACACGGAGCTCTCTGCACCTACCACATCCTTAAACTTGATCTTCTTGGCTTCCCAACCCAGTTCCATCTAAGACCTAGTGGGATCCCTCCGCCAACTTGTGAAATGACCAGTGAGCCTCCTCCAGCCTTCCTGGAACTCCATCAGAGCTTCTGGAAACCCCACGAATGTTACCCAGAATGTTGCATAGAACCCCATCAAATTCCATGTGGCCATTCCAAATGTTTGAAACCCAGGCAAAATTACACAGGGCTTTCACAAAGTCTTTTTCTGCTTTTTGCCCCCTGAAGAGAGCCCTCAGGCCTTTAAAAAAAAAATACACTGGTTGCATGGAGTAATGGAGTCAAAATGGGCCTGTGACATAGGATTTGCTCCTTCCCCTCTACCTAAAATGGTTTACGATTCAAGCAAGCCAAGATGGACACGCAAACGAGCTAAAGCCAGGATACGCAGGACAGATGCCTCCTCTGGGAACATTCACTCATCATTGTGGCACTCAGAGTCAAATAAAACCCACGTGTAATAATGTAGCGTGTGTGTTGTGTTAGCCGCTCAGTCATGTCCGACTCTTTGTGACCCCATGAATTGTAGCCCGCCAGGTTCCTCTATCTGGAGTTCTCCAGGCAGGAATACTGGAGTGGGTAGCCATTCCCTTCTCCAGGGGATCTTCCTGACCCAGGGATCAAACCCTGGTCTCCTGCATTAGAGGCAGATTCTTTACCATCTGAGCCACCTGAGGCCCTTATACACAGTGCTGTGAGCTGTGTTTAGCAGCTCAGTCATATCCAACTCTTTGCGACCCCATGGACTGTAGCCCACAAGGCTCCTCTATCTGTGGAATTCTCCAGGCAAGAATCCTGGAGTGGGTTTCCATGCCCTCCTCCAGGGGATCGAACCCAGGTCTCCCGCATTGCAGGCAGATTCTTCACTGTCTGAGCCACCAGGGGCAGTCCTAAATACTACAGTGCAAGCACACCTTCTTCCTCTGCCCCTGCGGGACTGGAGACAAGAAGTGGTCCACGTCAGCCCATCACCAAGCTCAGGGCAGGCTTTGGAGTCGGAGCACACAGGAGTGCAGTGCCTGTCGCATCTACCTCCTGGGGTGTTGGGGGCTCAAGTGAGACAGTGCCTGTTCACAGGAAAGATGACATGTGAGCTCAGGAACCTTTGCGCTCGTTCAGTGGACCAGTTGGAAAGAAGAGGCTCACCCAGGATCACACCGCAGGTGTCTACATCTCTGGATTCTCCATCCAATTAACTATATATACAAATTTAAAAGTGCCCACCTGTGCATGGCGCTAAGTGTCTGACAGTTGGAAAACATTATGCTTCTATCCTAACAATAATCCTCTGACGTCGAGGGCAAGGATCTTAATTTTCATTTTGTTGATGAGGAAACAGGCACAGAAGAGAAAAGGCTACCCGGAGACTGACGTTCAGACACACAAATGCCCAGGTGCTTCCCTCCTGCCACCCCTTCCCATCCTTCCTTCCCCAGGGAGGCTCAGGTCCACTGACCTCCCTGCACAAAGAGGAACTTGCAGAACTATAATGGGACTTAGAGATCAGCTAGTCGGGAGCCCTGCGTGGCAGCTGAGGGTACAGAGTCTCAGGGACATTGTAGGACCTGTTCAAGATGCCTCAGGGGTCCAGAGGGAGGTCCTTGGGTGCAGGGCAGTGTCCTTCCCATCAATGCACATGTCTAGCTGCATCTCTGCCCCCTCAGGGCAGACATGGAGGATTTAGGGGCACCTGGCTTGGCACTTTCTCAGAATTGATTAACTTGCCCTGGAGTCACACGTGGTTCCACTTGATCATGCCGCTCTGCTTAGAAAGCTAGGTGGTCTTGAATCTCGGCAGATTTTCCCATTTGCTGAATTCTGACCTGGGTTCCAGGGATCAGAGCAAGCCTCGTGGTGTGACGGTCATCAGAGGGTCCCTTGCTGGGCCCTGCTTCCTTGGGGACTGGCTTGTCTGTCTTTGTATGGAAGAATTATCTCCACCCTAGGTCAAATGGCAGTCAGTTAATTGCCCCACATTTCTGACTTTTGGGCAGTTTCCTCACAGTTACCTCCCCCTTGGGTTACCTCTTGACAGCGGATTCCATCCTGGGCCAAGTCTTTCCCTCTCTGGCCTCATTTCTCATCTGAGAAGGAAGGCTGTGTGTGTGTGTGTGTGTGTGTGTGTGTGTGTGAGCGCGCACGCCTGTGTGTTTATGCACGTGATCTGTAAGTGCCTTTCCAGGCTCCATTCTTTATGGCACCGGCTCTCTGCTTATCTAGGATACAAGTGCTAAGCTAATGGATTCACACACGAAGCCTAACACTGTTTTCTCCATCATAGCCTCATGCTTTTATACCTGAGGATCCTTCAGCAAAAAAAAGGGGCTCAGGTTCCATGAATGCTGAGACCAAGCTCTGCATTTTCATGTACAACTGATTCTCTTTCAGCACTCGGGAGAATCAACACACACTTTTACTACTCAAGTTGATCAGCCTCAGAGCCTGTCATCCTTGTGGATCCTGGAGTGAAAGGTCGGGGTTCTCTCCCTAAAGTCTCCTTCGGTCATGATCCAAGGACTTTAGGCAGGAACTCAGCAAGACTTTGGTGCCTGTGTGAGCACTGCGTCCTGCTCAGACAATCCCCCCTGAGGCTGGGGGTCTTTCTCACAGCCATTAGAGAACCATGGTCCTAACATAGATAGGCTGGGGCTCCCAGGCGTGGCTTTTTAGATGCTCCTTTTTGTGCCGGGGTGACCGATCAAACTGCGTTCCAGCAACAGCCACCGCCGCCCTCCAAGTCACCTAATAAGATCTCTTATTCCTTTCAAAAATAAGAATAAGAATAATGCTTTCTCCTTTCAAGAGTCCCTGGAATCTTCTA